CCTCTCCCTGCCTCCCAGCTGTGCTGTTCTTCTGTCCAGTCCTCTGACCTACATGTATCTCTCCAGCCTGGAGTGTTCATAGCCACTATTTTGTCTTCCAGGAATGCTCCCCCCCCCACTTGTGTGCTGGGGAACATCTGTGAGGAGAGTAGGGACTTTGTATAGTTTCCCATGGTTACAGCCCCAGTGCCAAAAAGAGGCTCCTACTTGTAGAAGGTACTGAAATAATATTTGTTGAATGAATGGACCCTTAAGGCACGTGCTTCAATGAGTGGAGCAGTGGTTGAAAGAAGCGAGACTGATGTAACTAGCGCCAGGAGAAGACGCCCTCCGGGTCTCGGGATACCTCCTGGCTCTGCCCGTCTTCAGGACTTTGGACGAGTTACTCAATCTCTCTGCGCCTCGCTCCTTATCTGAAGGGGGTGGGTGTAGAGCCTATGTATTGGAGATGTGATTTTAAATTAGTGACATTCGAACAATGCTGGCAGATGTCATCTCCCTTGACCTCACAGGGGCCACCCTGACTTCCCACAGCCTGCCCCAGACTCCGAAAAGTCCTTCCGACAGGTGCCGTTTTAGCACTCCATAGGATCGCCGGCTCCCATTGCTGCTGTGACGTGTTCCATGAATGCCTCTCTTTCTCCCACCAGCCTGTGGGTTCCATGGGGCAGGAAGGGGGTTGATTTTGCCCACCACTGGGTCACATACTGGGCGCTCCATCACCATTGCACATCCTGGGCCGCCTCTGGGTTTGCCCGAGCGTGGGGCTTGGGGCACGGGCCTGACGCCGGCTCTGCTCTTGCCTGGTGAGTGAAGATGGCCTTGTGCTCCAGCCTCCTGAGGCTCTCCCGCTCTGTCTCCCACAGGCACAGACATGGCTGTCTTCTGTCTGCTGTGCGGGAAGCGATTCCAGGCGCAGAGTGCGCTCCAGCAGCACATGGAGGTCCACGCGGGCGTGCGCAGCTACATCTGCAGCGAGTGCAACCGCACCTTCCCCAGCCACACCGCCCTCAAGCGCCACCTGCGCTCACATACAGGTAGGCCAGCCAGGTGATGGGTGGATCAGGGTCTCTGGGAACCAATGTCTGGATTTGCCTCCAAAAACGTAAGGTGGAAGTGCTGGGCTACATTAGCCCTCAGCCCTTCTTTGCCCAAGGATTGGGTCAGGGGCAGGTAAATGCTGATAGTTCTCCCCACCCCACCTTGTGGAACTTGAGGTCTCCATCTCTGCTCAACAGAGGGTACTCATTAGAGATGCAGTCTTGGGTCCCACCCTCAGAAGCTTTGATTTGTATGTATGGGGTGGGATGCAAGACTCAACATTGTTCATAAGTATTCCCAAGGGATTCTGAGGCAGGTGGGCCCAAAACTCATTTTGAGGAAAACCTACCTGCTTGGTCTCTAATTTTCTTTGCCACACACCCCTTCATTCTCCCTGGCCCCCACCCTGTGGACACACATTCCCGAAGGGAGCCTTGGGCTCTTAGGGGAATGTTGCAGAGGTGGTTCTGATTGCTCCACAATAATGGAAGCACGTTTTCTGTACTGGGGCCTTAACCTTGTTTAGGGGAGTAAATTATCAGCCATGAAATGTCTCGGCTTAGCCAGTTCCAGACGATGGGGGAGGAGAGGGGTTGTGAGTCAGGGAGGCTAGACCAGGTGGTCTGGCCCCACCCTCTAGGTTTGGGGTAGGGACACTTGGTCCCCGAGGGCCAAGAGGCATCTGCTTCCTTGCAGCTGCCCCCAATCCCCTCGTAAGGGATGGGCGACCTAAATTCTTTCCTTTCTCCAAGACAAAATTGGATGCTTGCTGACCACACATGGGTAAAGGACCCCTTCCTGAGTCTGCACGTGTCTCTGCTGTGTGTGTTTTGTCCTGAGTTTCGGGGGAGAGGTAGTGATGAGTCAGGGCCAGCGAGACAGGCAGGCAGACTCTATATCTAGTTTGTGACAGGGCGTACATTCGCGTCTGTTGGAGACGATACAAAAAAACTGTGTGGGCAGACAGGGGTGGTTGGGCACTTTCTCTCCTCACTCTTGAGTATTGTCACAGCTCCAGGATTAAGTATGCAGGTCAGGCCTTTTTGTGGGTGACAGGCTCTGCTGAATAAGGGAGGGGCTTTCTTTATGATGGACTGAGTGGCCTGTCCTGCCAACAGTGGGCATGCTCACCAAGGAGCCTGCCTGGGCTCTCACTTCTGGATGCCACTCTGTTCAGGGGAGCTCGTGGCCTCAGCATCACTAGTTTTGCTGAGAACTCTTTAGAATGGCTGGCACAGGACAGGGAGTCCCCAAAGAGTGGGGCCTGTCAAGAAGGGCTAAGGAGGAAGGAATGCTGACAGGGACTTTCTCTGTAGTGCCTTGTAAGCATCCTTTGCAGGTGTATGCACCTTCCTGTCAACACCTCCTGCACTGAGTCCCCAAATTCAGCCTTATCAAAGAAAGCCAGTCACCTTCAGCCACTGCTGAGGATGCTGTGGGTCAAATCTCTTGGCTTCATGTGACTAGAATGATCCAGCCCTGCTAAGTCTCCCCAGGATATGCCCTACTCTGCTGGGGCCACTTTCAAAGAGCTCAGCTGTCCAAATGTCACATGCTTCTGTGTCATTCTTTGCCCAGATCTGTGGGGAGGGAGACATAGTTTGAGGGAAGCATTTAATCTCGGAAACATGGAACATGAGCACCGCCTGTGCACACAACACACACGCCCATCGATTGCCACGCCAGCGAGGCCCTGTACACACAGCCATATACAGGCCGAGCACACCCCACACAATACCTCATTAATATTCCGTTGTTCTTGGCCCATTTGCTTCTGGGGCCTGGTGTTTAGCATCGGCAGCTGTGTTTGGTAAGTTAGTCCAGCCGCGCTCTTGGCATTGATGGATCCCTGATTCACACGGCTCGTCATAGAATAAAGTCTCAGCTGTGCTGCATGGAGGGGCCTGAAGAGCCGATGAGATGGGGCTGGGGTGGTGAGGGTGACACCAGGCCTGGCCAGTGCCAGGGGAACTGCAGGTAAGGACAGACCACTGGGGTCACAGGTGCACTGGGCAGGCCCGAGGGGCCCTAATTAGTCTCGTTTGTCCTGCACTTAATGTCAAGCTCATTAAAGAGGCTACAGAGTTAATCAACATACCACAAATTGGATTTTGAGTTCTGCAGCCAGTTTTGTGTACATTATGGCAACACTGACACAATTAACTCTCAGGGTGAGGATTTTGGACCAGGTGCTTGCCATGTTTCCAGAGCCTTGTGTGTGTGTGTGTGTGTGTGTGTGTGTGTGTGTGTGTGTGCGCGTGCATGGGTGTGTGTGTGTGTATGTGTTTGTTCCAAGTTTTTCTTACTCTTTTCCCTGGCTGACTATGGAGATTTCCTATTTAAACTCATTTAACACGTGATCCGCTACATAATTAAATTCATAAAAATCTGATCAAACAAACCTCTCTGTCTCCACCCTTTGGTCTTTAAACTCTTAGGGTCCCCTCTGGAGGGGAGAGGCGCAGCCACCGGTTCCCCCAGCCGGGGGGCTGCTGATGTACGTTTTAATTACCGGCTCTGGCTGAAGTCTCACGTGGCCCTGGCTTTATTTATTTATTTATATCTTAATGAGGATTCTGAATCCTTGATTAAAGTCGTAATCATTGCTGATTCAGTAAGGAGGGGCAGTTGGATGTCAGGCGGGGTGTGTGCAGCTGCGTACATAGAGAGTGGCACTCGGGCACAGGCGCACACACTGACCTCACAGCTAATTAGGACCGGGGTCTGCATGGGCCTCCCCTCCCCTTGGGCTGGATGGGGCTGGCAGCTGGGGACAGGCGTCTGCACAGCCCTGGCAGTCAGAGGACGGGCCGGTGCTCACCCAGGGCTCCGTTCGTCCCCAGATCTGCGTGGATGAGGCTCAGCCGGGGCGGTGCCCCACAGACTGGGGAGAACTGGTCTCGAGAGGCAGCTCTGCTCCCTGAGCTTTCCCTATCGGTCTGTTCGGTGGAATTGCTCCCACCCCCCCTCTGTGCGTCTCGAAAATCTTTCACCTGTGAGAGAGCCCGCCAGTGGGCAGACCCCAGCACCCAGTCCCACGGAGCCGTAAAAACCCTCCAGAGCCATCAGGACAGATGAGAATTTATGTGGGTACAGGGGCCTGCCTGTAGGAGGGGGGCCTGGGGTAGCGGCCTGAGGAGGGGAGGGAGGGAAGAGAGTAAAATATCATTTTAAAGAGGAAGTGAAGGCACAGGCATGCGAGTCTATAACGAGAAGGACAATTTATGCCCAGGCACGAGCGCAGTTTGACATGGGGATAATGAAGAAACGTAGGTCATTGTGGATGACTTAAACCTCCAGCAGCTGAAGAGAATGTATGAAATGCAGGGGACATTACACGGTTGGCAGCCCGCACATCTGCAGGGGGACGAGTGAAATACAGTGGCCATTCTTTACCATAAACTGTGGTTGTGGGAGACGCAGCCCAGAGAAATTGTAATTACAGTGACAAGACGAATCAGCGATATTTAAATATTCATGAACAAAGTCTGGGGTGATCAATCTATCTTTATTGTCTGTGCCTTCACTCCTGTAATAAATAAGTAGCTCAAGTCTTCACCTTTCATCCCCAAAGGCCACGCTTTGGGTACAAGACGAAAACTGGTTAACCCCCACACCCCAGCCCGACCTGACATCTTCCGGGGGACACTGGAATATGCAGAAAGGAGGCTGGCGGGCATGGCTCTCCCCGAGTTTCATACACCCCTTTCCTGAGTGCCTGCTCTGGATTGTCCTCATGTTACATACCGAGGCTGCAGGGAGGAATGGAGCTCCCTTTTACCTTGACTTGCTTCCCCTTAGAGGCATGGCGGGCATGCCAGTGGCCACAGTAAGCATGTCAGTCAGCAATCTGGGACAGTGCCCGTGTCCAGGCTCTGGAACCAGACTGGAGTCTGGCTCCCGACTCAGCTACTGACTAGCTGTTCGACCTTGGGGACCGTGTTTAAGCATCTCTAAGCATCTCAGTTTTCTCATCTGTAAAATGAGAATAATAGTAATCTGTTGTTGCAGTGATATGATCGTGTGAAGTTCTTAGTGTAGTAGTGAGCACTCAACAAAAATGAGCCATTTTAATTAGAAGGTGTCATAAAAATTATACTACTGCTGCTAAAAGAACAAAATATGGAACTTTTTTTCAGAGAAGAAAATGTAACTCATTTTGCCTGGGGGACTAAAGAGAAGCTTCCGAATGGGTGATTTTTGCAGTGGGCCTTGAAGGATGACTAGGAGTTCACCAGGGAGAGACGAAATCAGGCAGAGAGAACGGCTATGTGAAACTGTGGGGGAGGGAAAGTGCAGAAGGCATTTTGGCAATAATGTTCTCATTGTCCCCAAAATTGGAGGGCTGTTTTAAGGGCAGGGTTGTCAGGCTGGAGTGGCTTTTGCCCCTGACCTAGTGGAAAGGAAGAGAGTAGCATGAGAAGCTGAGGGGCAAGGTCCCCCACCTGCGCCTGCTCTACCCTGTGGGGGCTGCTTTCTGGGATGGCTGTTCATCTCAGAAGCAAATGGGCTCTTCTTCTGAGACTGGCCCTTGACCCGTGGATGACCACTGGGCCACAGTAAGGTTTGGACACGTGTGAGCACACACTCCCTGTTTATGCTCGGGGCCGGCAGAGGCCGGGGGCCCTGCAGCCGTCTTTGCCGGTAGTGAATGCAGGCACTGCATGTGCCCTGCTGTCCCCTAAAACGGGGGCAGGGGTAGGCAAGGCCTGAAGCAGCCCCTGTCCCCACAGGCGACCACCCCTACGAGTGCGAGTTCTGTGGCAGCTGCTTCCGGGATGAGAGCACACTCAAGAGCCACAAACGCATCCACACGGGTGAGAAGCCCTACGAGTGCAATGGCTGCGGCAAGAAGTTCAGCCTCAAGCACCAGCTGGAGACGCACTACAGGGTGCACACAGGTACTGAGGGCCGAGCGCGCCCGGGCTGCCCCTGGAGGCTGGGTGCGGGCGGGCACAGAGGGCTCTCCCGAGGCCCAGCTCCGAACCGAAGAGTAGAAGAGGTTCTGCTAAGGGTCCGTGTGCTGACCTGCGTGCCTCTGCCTCCTTGCAAGGCCGAGGCAGCCCTGCTGATCAACCGCAGCACACCCCCCATGAGCCCGGGCTAGCCCTCCGGGCAGCCACACCAGCAGTTCCCAGGTCACGCTATTTGTGATGTCTGTTTGTTAATCCTGAATCAGCTTTCCCCAGTTAGCTGAAAGTGAAGGTTAGGATAGTATGTTCCTTGACAGGTAGAGTAAGAATTATTAGAGAGCATTGAGTTAGGTTATGATGAGAGGTGGGAAGTCATAAGTTAGAATTAGGTTCTGAGATCAGAGGAGCAGATATATTTCATAAACCCCTCTGTGTATAATGTCTTACCATTTCAAAGGGACTTCACGTTTCTTTTTACATAAAAGAAACGTGAGCTATAGTTTTACCGTGGGTCTGAGGACAGAGCAAACCGAAGTGGTCCTGATGCCCAGAACTGCCAGCTGGGGGCAGTGGAGTGTTGGGGCCGCACTGCACCTGCTTGTGCACATCTCTGCCCAGCTGCAAGTTCAGTGGCATCACCTTGGTTGCTTAGCATCGGCCAGGGTGGTACTAGTCACAGGGTGGCTATGAACAAATGCTACCGATCCAGGCTTGGGGGGAACAGTTGTTACACATTTGATCACCGGTACACCACTGTCTGGGGGAACGCAGATACTCAGAAGGACTTCCTCTGAGGATAAGCGCAGTGGAAGGTAGTGGCCTGGCAAACTGGGAAGCCTCCCCTGATAAGGGGAGACAGCTGTCTCTGCAGAGGTGGGGAGAGGTGACGTCTGTGGGCGGGGAGGGGTGGGCAGAGGGAACAGTAAGCAGAGGATATGTGTTGTCGTAGCTCTGCTTTCTTGCATCAGCGACAAGGAGAGGATGGGGTGCTTGTTCCTGACAACTAGAGTGACCCACAGGACTCCTCAGAGCCCTGGGGCTTCCTTAGCCCTTGTCGGGGATGTGACCTGGCAGGTGGATCATTAGATGCATTGGCAGTGACTATTGTAAATAGCAGGTCGATAGTTAGATCACTTTGGCTGTTCATTACTTCATTATTTGCTGGGGCCTCTGCATGGAGGAGTATCGATAGCGAGATGGCTGGCCAGTTAATTACTGTATCGAAACAGGTTCCCTCACGCCCTCTGCCCAGCTCCAGGGGGCTCTTCAGGTACCAGCTAGCATGGGGCCGTGCACTGCCAGGTTTTCTATCCCCCTAACCCCCATTGCAGCCCCAGAGGGAAGGCAGGGTCCAGTGCAATTTCTGAGAGCCTATGCTGAGGAACAAGCCCAGATGCATCAAGTTTGAAGGACAGGTTCCCCCAATTTCACCACACCCCTACTCGCTGCCATCTATAGCCCTGCTCCCCTGGGAAGAACTGCTGAAGGGCCATCCCCAAGGAAGTTCCGGGCCTCCCTGCCCCTTCCCCAGACGCCCACATCCCTCCTCAGGAAGGGTCGGGTCTGTGCCATTGGGAGAGTGAAGCAGAGGACGGCCAGGGCCTGGAGCTGTGCTGCAGCACCGCAGCCACTAGGTGCACGTGGTGTTTAAGTTAGTTACACAAAATACGATGAAGACTGTTGTTCCCAGTTGCACTGGCACGTGTCTGGCGCTCAGCCGCCATGTGTGACTGGTGGCTGCTGTACCGGGTGATGTATCCACTGTGGTGCAAAGTGTGAACTGGAGGGACATTCTCCAGAGAGCCCAGGGTGGACTGAGGGCCCAGCGTGTCCCAGTGGAGGCCCTCACCGCCCCTCCCTCTGTCCTTCCACAGGTGAGAAGCCCTTTGAGTGCAAGCTGTGCCACCAGCGCTCCCGGGACTACTCGGCCATGATCAAGCACCTTCGGACGCACAACGGAGCCTCGCCCTACCAGTGCACCATCTGCACCGAGTACTGCCCCAGCCTCTCCTCCATGCAGAAGCACATGAAGGGCCACAAGCCCGAGGAGATCCCGCCCGACTGGAGGATAGAGAAGACGTACCTGTACCTGTGCTACGTGTGAAGCCGGGCCAGGAGGGGCGGGGGAGCGGAGCGAGAGGCGAGTCAGAGCAGGGTGAAGTGGAGGAAGGACTGTGCAAATATATGCATCTCTCTAAGGAAAAAGGGAGAAAAGGAACCCTGGTAGCTGTCTGGCGTTGGATTTTCTCTGGGGCGCCAGGCGACCAGGATGCCTGGCCACTGCCCCTTCCTGGGGCCACCATCCCTCCTCTCCTGGCTGGAGGTTAGCCTGATTTCTTGGGTGGGGGTAGAGAGGGGTTTGTTCTGCTCAGACCCTTTTTATGTCCAGAAATGGAGGCTGGGAAGAAGGTGAGGGGTTTTCTGGTCAGGGCCAAGCAGTCTCTGCCTGCCATCCACAAGGACTCCTCAGAAGATGGAGGCAGGGGGACCGGGGGGTGGTGGGACGGGACTGGGTCACTGGCTCTAGTTTGCTGGGGGAAGATTGGGGTGGGAAGGGCTCTTCCTCCCCTCCCATCACTCGATTCACCTGTGCTTCCCTCTGCTCTGCCAACCTGGGTGTCCCCTTGTGGTCTCCAGGTCCTCGTGGCTCTTGCCCCTCCCCCAGCTCCTGGTCCCTGCCTTCCCTTGACTCCTGTCCTCCAGGTCCAGGGAGTGTCCAGCCCTCCTCCCCCAGCTCCTGGTCTCTGCCTTCCCTTGACTCCTGTCCTCCAGGTCCAGGGAGTGTCCAGCCCTCCTCCCCCAGCTCCCTAGTGGGGAAGCTGTGTCTGACCCCAATCCCCACTCCCACCCTTAGTTTCTGAGAACACAAAACAAGTGTAATACCCCACCCTTGGAAAGCCCTGTCCTGAGCAAGATTTCCTGCTGAGCTGCTTTTGCTTCCCAGATGGAAAAACAACTAAATACATACGGTCCCACCAAGCAAACAGACATGATTCCCTACCACCCCTTGTTCAGTCCCTAGGACAAGGAATCGTGAGCGGGCTGCTGGCCAAGGGGAAGATGTGGGTGTCCTCCCCCAGATGTGCCCTCCCCCTGGGGAAGGGGACACCTGCCCCAGAGTTAGGATGCTGGCCAGGGGAGGGTGCTGACCTCTTGAACACCCCAGAGCTGGTGAGCTCAGTGGAAAACCCAGGTCCAGAGAGTGGCACAGAATTCCTGGCTCGCAGCCGCCCACCCACCCCCCACCCCCAGGGAGCAGGCCGAGGGGACTTGCTGAAAGCGCTTTGGCCTTGTGTTACTTCTTTTCTGTGTCCCCGGTTCCCGTTAGCACATTGTACTTGAATTACCTCAGTTTTTGTGACCTCATGAGCTTTTGTAACCCCTGTATGGCTTTTTTGGTTGGGGGTTGGAAGAATGGGGAGGAAGTTCTTTTCTGTTTCTCGTGTAAATTAATAGTTGGTTTAATACCCGTCAGCTGGCCAAGGCCCCTCCATCCCTGAGTGACCAGCCTCCCAGCTGGAAGGAGCTGCACAGAAGGATCGAGTGCTCAGGGTCTGACTGTGGGGGCTGGGGGCTGCAGAAGGTGGGTGGAGGGGATGGGGTGGGTACTGGGGCCCTTGGAGTCACTGTTGGCTCTGCCCAGGGCATGAACTGGTCAAGCCAGCATCGGTTCAGCCTAAAACACTCTAGACAAGATCTCCCCTTTCTTAAAATTCTCTGGGTCCTTTGAGCGTGGGGGCCTGTGTTACTCAGATCCTTCCGACTGCGCGACCCCACCCCTGTGCGTTACCGTTGCCAAAATGGGTCTGTTTTCCTGGCTGGTGAGGGATGAGCCGGTCTTGGTTGTGTTGTGTCGGGGTGGGGGCGTTGTTTTTCTGAAAGCTACCTCTTATGTTCGTGCAGTTCCTTTGTCCCCTCCTGCCTCTCACTCTGCTGCTCTGCTCCCCCCTGCCCCCTCCCAGCCTCCCCACCCTGGAGTTTGGAAAGCACATTTGCAGTGTTTGTGTTCACTGTGGGATGGGCCCTCCGTTTCATCTCATGCTTTATTTGTAAAAGTTTTTTTTTTTTTTCTTTCCTTTCTCTTTCTGAGAAAGTTGTGGCTGCGTTTTTATCTTAGGTTTTAAAAAAGTGGTTTAGGGAAGCGGTTCTGGGGAGAAGGGTTGTGAGGAGTATAGGAAAGTCGGAGGGATGGGTGCTGCTGTGACCACCCCCCTGTCCCTCGGCCCCAGCCTCCTGCCTCCCCCGCAATCTTGCCCACCAAATCTGAAGGCCTTAAACGTTGTGTGTTGGGAGTATAGTAACTGGGGGGACTGTGCCGCTGGACTGTTGATTGGGGACGGTAAATAGGGAGGATGCTATTTTGCAATTATAATAATGACTTAGTGCTTTGGAAAGGAAAAAAAAGTTAAACTTGAAGTATGTGACTAGAGCAGTTGTGGTGTTTATAATAAGAGTAGAATCTTTGGGGGGAGGAGCAGTCTGTAAGAAATCGTTGTGCACTATGGCTCCCTCCCCCAGTCTGGGAAGAAAGGGGGACTGGCAGCCCTCAGGGGATCTGTAAATCTCAGAAGACAGTATTTTAACAGCAAGATGTCATTCAGCTTTGGTGGGGAAGGGAAAAAAAATCAAACTATTCCGTAGACCTAGCTGACACCTCTCGCTCTCCCGCCTTCCCCTGCAGCCTGGGTCTCCTCCCTGTTCATAAAAGCTGAGGGTTGAGCTAATCTTTACAAGTTGTAATATTTTTGTAATGTTTGTTAGTTCTTTCATCAGTTCTACAGAACTTGCCCTTTCCTTTTGTAATGTGAATAGGAAAAAAAAAAAGACAAAAAAAAAAAGCCTACCACCACCACCAAGATGTCCCTTTGTGTGTGTGTCCGCGCGTGTGCTGTTTGTGTGCGGTTGTGTGTTAAGTCGGGCAGTATTGTTGTCTGCTGGTGCAGCACTGGAGGGTACCGAGTCGGCACCCGTCCGCCCCCTCCGTCCCCAGGGAGTCCGGCAGGGCGGCAGGGGGCAGGGAGGGAGGCCCGGCCGCGGTTTCTGAAGGAGGCTGGGCGGAGGCTTCTGTACCTGTGCTCGCTTTCTTCCCCCCCTGCCCCCCGAAGCCTCAGACACCAGGACGGAGTCCAGCGCGCCTCCGTTCAGCTTCCTACTCACCAAGACCAGAGAGCCCCGACCCTGCCAAGGCGAGGGTCAGAAATGACCTGGAGGCTTCGATGTGTCTGGATACAGGGGGCTGGGAGCCGCTCTCCCCCCAAGTGAGATCTGAGCGGCTTTTCTCCCTCTGCTCTCGGCCTCCGGGCCTGGGCCACCTGCTGCCCTGAGCTGTGCTGCTGCTGACCCCCCTCGCTGCGGCCTTATCCAGCAGTCGGAGTCTCCAGTCTGCAGAGGCCACGCTGCTCCTAGTCCCTGCCCTGGAGCTGTGTTCGCTCCTGCAGGTGTGTCCCTGATGCTTTTGGTGACATTGACCCCTCACTCATGCTCTTTCCCTATTCATTCCTTCACTCATTCAAAGCATTAAAATCCTATGTGTATATAGGATAGACAGATATATATAGAGAGATATATATAGCAAGAGAGAGATATAAATAGTAAATACCATTGCTGCTTTGGGCTGCTTTGGAGGAGGCCACGGATGTGAGGAAAGTAGACCTGGGGTGCAGGGTGGGCAGGGAGGCTGGGGGACCCCGTGATTCAGTACAATCCAGGGATGCAATGTGGGCTTGTTTAATCTTTGTGCCTGAACAGTTTTCCATGTTTAGAAAAAAAAAAGGAAAAAAAAAACCTGCTGCAATTTTTCACAAGCGTATGGTACCCTCCAGGATGCTGTTGGTGCAGCGGCTGCCGGTGTTGAGTCCTGGAGGGAGAGGGCCTTTGGGTTCCCTCCTTGCAGGGGAGTGGGTGGCAGGGGGCAGGTCTGTGGCCAGTTCCCTGCCAGCCCTACAAGAGTGAAAGCTGGGGGCACCGGATGTAAGACAGAGAAGCAGAAAAAGATGATACCATTTGTTCATTTTCCCTAGGCCTGTTACATTTTTTCTCTGCTCCCATCTTGTTTCCTCCTTCTGGAAGCTTCGCGGCTGGCACTTACCTGGGTATTTCAGTAGGAGGTAAAAAAAACAAAACCAAGACTAGCCCTTCCCTGTGAAACTGATGGGTGCAGGGAAAAGGCAGAGGGGCCAGGAGAGGGGTGGGAGACAGGCCAGGGAGGTTGGGGCGGGAGGAGGGTAGTGAGGGGGGTGCAG